CGAATTCCAACTGTCAAGGGATCTTTTACGTGCACGCCAATGTGTACACGGGACCTCTGAACGGCTAGACATCTGTCCTTGTCAGGCCCTCCGTCCTGCATCACTGACTAGGGAGAACCACGCTGGAAAATCTGGATTGACTTTCTTGGCCAATGCAGGGATCGCGTAATATATTAAAACAACAACTTGGGACTAATGTCTCTCGTGTTGTTACAATATATTACTAAATGTCTCGCTCTCGACCATTAAACCACACTGCCCCAGTTGTACGCGACAAGGAGTATGGTCACCTGTCAAGCCTCGTGGGTTTTCTCTGGGTCCTCCGGTTTCCTCCCACTGCTAAAGACCCCTACGTGCAAGCGAATTATTGAAATAAAATTAAACCATATGTTAGTCCCGAAATGACCTAGTTTGTGTCGAGTGGACGTTAAACCCCATTTCTCTCTCTCTCTCTCTCTTAAACCACACTGAATGTACATATACTAAATTTGGACATGGAAGTGTAACTCCATAAATTGGACAACTCGACATTGTACAATGTTTACTGACAGGTGAATACACAACCTTCAGCAAAAAACACACAAAAAATCTGAAAATTGCATTATAATAAATTTTAATATCAAACACGAAATTCATTCGTTCTTTAACTAGAAATATTTTAATATCTAACATGAAGTCCATTCATTATTTATCTAGAAATATTTTAGTGATACATAAAGAAAAGACATATCTATGAATTGAATGGAGTTATTTTTAAATTAAAAGCAGCCATAGTCACTCCATTGGTATAAAATCAATATCCATATATATAATAATTCTATTTTTTAGAAAATTATTTTTTTTCACAAAACTTCATAACTATATTACGCATAGTTTATATACTAACTATAGTAACTCAATATTGATCAATTTCAATCAATATTGACTTTATCTTGCCTTGAAACTATAGCATCCTTATATCCAATATTTAAGACAAAATTAACATTTTATAATCAGTACACTACACAAGACATGTGCCCTATGGTTTCGGGTGCCATTTTGTAATGAACAAATAAAAACATATCCTACAACACAATGTGGAAGTAATTAGTAAAGTCTGATTCACAAACGACAAAATAATAAACGTTCAATTTGAACTGGTTACGTATTTCACCAAACATAAATGATTAAAAATTACAATATTTCTATTCAAAAATTGAATATAAAACACTTTACATACATTCATATTAGATCTACATTAATATGTGCTTCAATCTAATTAAAATATAGATCTATATTTCGTTTCGTTTTTTATACTTTCTATGGCCTACACTACATGTAGATCTAACAAGTTATAGTGGGAGTTCACGTTCTATGACGTCAGGTACCAAGCAAGCGACATTTGACCCGATTACGTCAGTCATTCGATTAACCAATTAGCGACCGCCATGGGTTTTTTTTATCTACTTTTGCTTTGTTTTGATTTCTATTGCCGCTAATGTCTACCCACAGTTCCACGCCAAAAAGTCAAACACTCGATTCGACAGACCATTTGATTGGCTGACCCCTCATTTCAAGCAGAACACGAGTTAAATAACAACGCTTCCAGATCCAAGTGTAGTAAAGACAAGTAAAATCGAAATTTTGAACTATAAAAACGAAACGAAATTGGATCTGTGTTTTAATCAGATTGTATGTGCTTTAGAGCCATTTTTGGGGTCAATTTTAAGGTTAAAAAAAATAGCAATTGTCCACTTATTCCATCATGTCTATAACATATACTAGATCACTGGAATCAGTAGTTCTATTCTAAGTTAATAGTAAATGTGGACACTTGTTGGTTTGTTATTGTTCTTGATCTGAATTCTTCTTCTTCAACTAGTATACTGAAACAGATAAAATAGATCACCTAAACATACATTATGCAAGAGCTAAATCTGCGTATTACAGGTCTTTCTTTAGGCCTGAAATGTTATCTAAATTATTAATTAGACATTAATAAACATATCCAGGCCATAATCAACTCTCGATGGCATCGGATTTCTCCGATATTAAACAGATTAGAACAGTTCAGCCATATTTTGATTTAAGGTAAAAATGGAGGTGCGAGACTAAGCTTCGAACAACCTGTACGGTGGTTAAAATTAGTGCACGTCTTATCAAACATTCAAAGGCTAATATCTTCGCTCGCAATAGAGTAATTTGAATGAAATTTTCAAATTATTCATTTTACATTATCTATTTTCGAACTATTATAGCAAGAATGGCTAGCTCTTTATCTAAATATTACATAATGTATCTTTAATATATCAATCTGATTATAGTTTAAAATTTCGTTTTACTTGTCTGGAAGAGTTGTTGTATAACCAGTGTTCTGGTTGATGAGAGGGATTATCCAATGAAACTGTCTGTTGTGGCCAGATCTTGGCCTGCGGTGCAAGGAAATGTGGGTAGACATTCGCAGCAAAGACAAAGAAAAAGTTTTATTTCCAAATACCCACTTGAAACATCAACGCTGGCTGGTTAATCAAATGTCTGATGTCAGATATTCATGTAGTGAAGGCCATTGAAAGTATAACAAAACGAAACGAAATATAGATCTGTATTTTAAAGTGGAAATTGCAAATTTTTAAGTTATATTTTTAAAATTTATTAAAATAAAGCCTGAAAATAGATGGTATCCATAAACTGTCCTACGTTGTTAAAGAATAATCCTATTAATCCTATAATTCACTATTGCCAGCTGAGAAATTGGCAAAAATATCATTTTCCTCTTCATTTTCAAACGTTTGAAAAAAAGCTACTCCATGGTGGAGAATAGAAAACAAGGGAGGTAATTGGGAGGTAATTATGTTATTATTTCCTGTGTAAATGAGTTGTAAGTGTGAGAATGACACCCATGATCGTATAATTGTGAGTTGACAACCTATTGAGCAAAAGACATAGAAATAATTACGTTTTGACTTTCTTAGAAAATTTGCAATTTCCGCTTTAATCAGATTGTTAAAATATATACACAGTAAAGTACCGGTAGTCAGAGAGAGAGATAAACGGGGCTTAACGTCCACTCGACACAAACTAGGTCATTTCGGGACTAACATATGGTTTAATTTTATTTCAATAATTCGCATGCGCGTAGGGGTCTTTAGCAGTGGGAGGAAACCTGAGGACCCGGAGAAAACCCACGAGGTTGGACAGGCAACCCTACTCCTTGTCACGTACGACCGGGGATTCAAAACCTCGCCAGTTGCCTCAATGACAGGCCTTATGATACAGCGCGCGCACATGCTAACCATTCGGCCATCCAACCCCCCGAATCTTTTTGAAACAAAAAAAAGACACTTTCTCATATAGATATTTATTCCTCGCTTCTCAGTAACTAATTTTATCCAATGTGAAAATAACTTCAGCATATCTTTTGCTCTCTATCTCTCTCCCAACACCCCCACCCCACCCCCGGATCTTGACCTCTAATGGGGTATTAAATGACCAACTGGTGTTTATCTCCTAATTGTGTTACATTTCACCCATGCAGCACCCACTAACGAAGCAATAAAATACTGCTGTCCATTCTACCTTTCTGACCACCCATTTTGTATCTTCTACAGCTCTTTCTATAATCTGTTTTATTCTTTCTGTATCCGTTTCATCACAATGACTTTTATACGACTGAAATAAAATTGGGTTTAACGCCTTAATGTCCTATTTTTATACATCAAATGATCTAATCACTCGGCAATCCTCGGCAGATTCCGTTACTCTATATCTAGCCTCGGTTGTATGACGGTAAGTGATATGTACCTACACCTATACCATTGCGATGCGGCACCAGTTTACTTATTAGGAGAACTTGCCACATTTAAAAAGAAGTTATCAAATTGCATTGCTCGATGTGTGTGTAAAATTTTCAGTGCAAAGTTGTCCTTGTTTGAAGAAAATCGGATAAACTTGAAAGAAAAACAGCTTCACACTTTGTATGATAAAACATTCTTCAAAGGCGTCGTCATGGGCAATGCCGTTGGTAATCCAGGAACTTGAAAGTAGTTCCAATGGCGGACTTCGTCATACAGTCGAGGCTAGATGTAGGGTACTGGAATCTGCTGAGGTTTGCCGAGTGCTGGTCTAATGTACCTATCTGAACTCTTATATGACTACAACCCTATTAGATCACTTCACTCTCAAAATAAACAGTCACTAGTTTTTAAAAGATATAACTTAAAGCCATATGGGTATACGTCTTTCAGTTCAGCTGGTCCTAGATTATGGAAGACGCTATATAAAACCTCATTATTATTATTATTAATTAAGACAGGCATACATCATGCAGTGAGACTATAAATAGCCTATGAAGGACATTTTGCCCTCTAGCTAGATGGTCATCTCTCGCTTAATTGCGATTGTGGTTTCGATCCCTCGTCTGAGCCTATGTCAGTATGCGTGGCTTGGAGATAGGGGCGCCTTCTCAACCTTGTAGGTTTACTCCAGGTACTCTGGTTTCCACCCACAGGAAAAAAGATAATGAAAATGAAAAAAAAAAAGATGACTTGTCTGCGATATCACCTTCCGTGGAAGCAGACGTTAAACACCAACAGACCAGACAGCGGCAATTCAACCTAGCCTACTCATCACCAAATTCCAAATGACATGTTTATTTTTACAGACTCGTTGAGTTACCAAGTTGGTACTAATAGAAATACCCTCGAACACAACACTTCGTTGCCTGTCAACCTATCTTTTTATTCACTGCTGTATGATAACTAGATTTTATTTACCTGTCGGGTTTGATGTGTATAATATATTCTAGCCTCTTTTGGCAAGACTTTGATAGAGCGCAAAATAAAGCGATACAACTGAATTGGATTGTCAACTTTCATACTTGGCTTAATTCATGACTTAACTCCAATAAAATCATAATCTATCATTGAAACAGAAGAGGGACACTCGCCAGACTTCGCGATGTTTTCATCACGTGACCATAATCTTTAAAGAGAATTATCTCCCTTTGGTTAAGAAAATGAAATGGTTAACGTCCTACTCCGACTGAGCTATTGAAGACGGACATCGCCAAGTAGTGCGTGTTATGGGTGGGGGTGGGGGTTGCCCGGCCAGCGGTGCTACGATGTACTCTTATTTATATCGAATTCCAACTGCCAAGGGTTCTTACGTGCACGCTAATGTATTCACAGGACCTCGGTTTTTGGTCCAATCTAAACGACTAGACATCTGTCCTTTTCAGGCCCCCATCCGGATCAGCTTAAAAAATAATTGTTTAGATAAATTATTAAAGCGCTTTAACCAGACAATTCGTAATCTTTTATTAAACTGCCGTGTCGAAAGTTTGCCCTAGAATTACTACCAAGGCTAATCAAATAATTTGCGTATACTGAAATATAAAATTAATAGAATTTCACTTAATAAAATATATCTTGCTTTTATTCGCCCTATTTTAGAATATGCTGATATTGTATGGGATAACTGCTCAATGAAAGATTCTGACCTACTAGAAAGTGTCCGAACTGAAGCGGGTAGAATAATAACTGGCCTTAGAAGAAATTCATCTAAAAACAATTTATACAATGAACTGGGATGGGAATCACTATCCAATCGCAGAACAAAACACAAATTAATATATCTATATAAAATATAAAATAATCTATGCCCCAGCTATCTGTCTGAAGTCTTTAACAAATTTAAACCATTAGTTTCCAATTATAACCTTCGTAATGAAAATCAGAACCTCAATCCACCATTTTTTGTAAAACCAATTCGTATTTTAATAGCTTCTTTCCCTGTACAATTAAACTTTAGAACAATCTACCAGAACTTATTAAAAACTCACAAACGTTAAGTACATTTAAATCAGGCCTTACACGTGTATATCCTTTAATTAGACTACCCTCATATTATAATACTGGAAATAGGAAAGAGAATATTATTCATTGTCAATTAAGAAATAAAGCTAGTAACTTAAATAATCACTTATTCCACCATTTTCTGAGTGAAACAAAAGCGTGCCCAAACTGTAATTCTACAGACGAAGATAATTATCATTACTTTTTCATATGTCCAGCCTACTCTGCCACAAGAACATTTCTCCGAAATAATATACACCAGCTTAAACTAAATGTTACAATGGATCTAATTTTATATGGCAACACCGATCTTCCAGATGATACCAATTATAACATATTTGTAATAGTGCAAAAATTTATAAAAAATAGCAAGCGGTTTTGAAGCTTTAATTAGTAAATCTATGTCTACATTATGTAATATTTTTTATATTTTTTATAACCTTAAATGTAATTATAATATACATGTATATCTAAACATTACACTCCAAGAAATGTATATATGTTTGTAACTCACTACCTATATATATGTCCACCATTGTTTACTGTAAACATAAGATATAACTGTTTTATATGTTTGGAGAGAACTTATATAGGCCTTTGTCTGTTGTTCAATCCAGTTCAGTTTATTGAATAAAATATTGTTTAAACTAAATAATAATAAAAAAAAACAAACCACAAAGATCTATGCTTTTCTCTTGCTCCAGTGACGTTACTATAACTTCTCTAATATAAGGATTCTCACTGACCGAGGGCAAAGATAAGGGCTATATGCTTACTTTTCGCGTCCCCTCACAGCAGGACAATTTCAGCCTATTTGCTCGTGCCCCACCAAATAGCCTAATTTTCAATGGATTCAATTTTAAGCATCCTTGTCATAAAGAATGTTCAAAAAACAACAAAATTTAAAAGTGCGTCACCGCGGCACAGATCATTGTCACTCTCGCGACTTGCGCTTTGTGGAACTACCGATCGAACTCCGATATCGATGCCACGCCCTTTCTCTCCTTTTCACTTTAGCCAAAGTTTTACATTTAGTGTTGCTCGCATGCCCTCCTGAAATCCAATGTAATCCAGACCGGGTCGTTCATATTTTGTTTTTGTGAAGCCACGCTCTTCCTCTCCTTTTCACTTTAGCCAAAGTCTTACATTTAGTGTTGCTCGCATGCCCTCCTGAAATCCAATTTAATCCAGACCGGGTCGTTCATATTTCGTTTTTGTGAAACCGTTCAAGCTCTGTTACATAAAATACTATCAAATAATACGGTATGTAAATTAGGAATGTCGCTAATTAGTTTGAGATTGATTTAACAAATCAGTTTTTCAAAATATTGTTCAAGGAAATGAGAGGTTTTTGATACCATATAGGTGGTAAATAATCATGCTATTATATCTTAAGCTGCTTTATGTTACTTCGAATAGAAAAATAATTTTGGACGGGAAGCGGCACAAACTATGTCATTACGGGGCTAACATATGGTACAATTTCATGCCTAAATAGCTAGCAAATATAGGTTTTCGGCACTGAGGGTGGGGGTGGGGTTCAAAGAGGGTACCGGAGAAAACCCACGAGGTTAGAAAAGCGACTATATACTACTGGTCACATAGAATGGAAATCACACCACTCGAGTAAATGACAGACCTTATGATCTAAAGCGCAAGAATTTGTCAGTGGTGCAGAACGGAGGGCCTGACAAGGACAGCTGTCTAGTCCTTCGGATGAGACGAAAAACGGAGGTACCGTGTAAACATTGGAATGCACGTAAAAGATCCCTTGGCAGTTGGAATTCGATATAAGAGTAGGCGATAGTGCCGCTGCCCGGGCAAAATTTCCCTCATAGCACAATGTATGGTGTATGCCCGTCTTCATTAGCCTAGTTCGGAGCAGAACAGTAGGACGTTAGACCCCATTTCATTTCATTTCATCGACCATTCGACCTCCCAACAGCGCAATGATCGATGAGAATAAATCCAGATGTACCGAGAACATTTTATAAAGTCTACACGTGTATCTTAATATATTATCTTATCTTTGTTTCAAACAACCAGTGTTTTATTACACGACTTCTAAATATATTTACTGACTATTCACATATGTGTACCATTTGCTTGATAAAGACGAGACTATAATCCTCGTCGAAACGTTGCTTAGTATTAAACTCAGTAATTGTGTATCTATAAAATTGTACCTTGTGTTAATATGTTCAATTACCAAATGCCAATCAAAGAAGACTTGTAAATCGTGGAATTATTTCAATTCAATATATTATTTGTGGAAATATATTATTCTGACTATTATTCTTCCATCTAGGCCTATTCCTGGAAATGTTCTAGCCTATTGGAATCAAAGCATTGAATTGCTGGAATAGAACGATTCAGATCAGTCTCCAGTCTATATGGGTGACATTATTTGGTAGGTTGGTTTCTTTCTTGGCGTGACAAAGATTAAGGAAGAAGTTACAGCGAAACGAAGTATAATATACCCACGACTGAATATAGTCTACTAGAATATGTTTTGCCGACCACGTGTTTGTTGCTTTCTCCTGGTTGTATTAAGTGTAGTTCTTGTAATGGTGCTGATATTTGTCTACCGGAATCATCAAACAGGCCACCGCCATTATCTCATTGATAGATTATCGAAAGTTATTGGAATAAAGTCTAACGAAATAGAGAAATCTGCTATCCCAACTTTGCCGTTTCGATATAAAATTCATGCTACTGATCAACAAGTGATTAACAATAACACTGCAAAAACAGCGTAATAATAATTGATGGGGAAAAAGCTATGAATTGTGTTCCATTTGCTTGAAAACGAAATGAAACGTCGCTTTAATTAAAATGGTAACTGTGTTCCATATTATGTTTTTCTGTTCATTACATGTGTCAATTGCTAAATGCCACTCAATGAAGAGTGATCTATTAGTGACGATTCAATGATGGAATAGACCAATAAACTATAACACATATTTAAAGGAGCTAAATCGCTAATATTTTGGATCTAGAAATTGACACAAATGGGTCGCAACGTATATAATAATGTAATGTGAATGTATATAAACTGATTTACATTCAATCGTTTCTGTTTTTACTGCAATTTCTAATCAGTTATGTTTGGCGAAATACGCCAGAAGTCTCAATCGAATGGCAATCTCTAGCTTCTGGAATAGACCAATAAACTATATATCCTATTGCTGATTTAATTGTGCAATGCGTCGTAGAGTATTTTTTTTTTCTCTCGAGTTTTCATCACTGTTATACTATGTATATTGCAAGTTGTGGATTATGTGTATTGTCATTTACAGTAAACATTAATAAAAGATGTATATTGTAACGAATGATTTATGTGTATTTCACTCTATAATAAACACTGTATCTGCAAGGAGTGTTTTTTGTGTATTCGGCTTTATAATAAACATTGTATATTGCAAGTTGTGGTATTTGTGTATTGGTCTTTATAATAAACATTGGATTAATTCAAGTCCCGGGTTAAGGTTGTGTTAAGGTTGTGTTGTAGTGGTGTATAACTAACTGCACATGTTGTTCATGTTTAGTGCCTTAAAGTTACAATTTCATATTTTTAAGTTATATTTTTAAAATGTATTAAAATAAAGCCCTAAAAAAGATGATATCTATAAAAAGTCCTACCTTGTTATAGATTAATCCTATAATTCACTATTGCCAGTTGAGAAATTGGCAAAAATATAATTTTCAACTTCAAATTCAAACGTTTGAAAAAAGCTACTCCATGGTGGAGAATAGAAAACAAGGGAGGTAATTGGGAGGTAATTTTGTTATTATTTCCGGTGTAAATAAGTTTTAAGTGTGAGAATGACACCTATGATCGTATAATAGTGAGTTGACAACTTATTGAGCAAAAGACATAGCCAATTATGTTTTGACTTTCTTAGAAAATATGAAATTTACTCTAATTTAAAGTAGCTAAGTCTCTAACTCAATATCATCCAAAATCTTCAACATTGAAAACACGATTAATTTGTCAATTTAAATCAACATTGATGTTGTGATCTTACCGGAAAAAGATGGGCTTTTGATATCCAATATTTAAGACAAAATAAACATTTTACCATTGGTACACGAATCGTCTACCATAATGCGCTTCAGCCCCAGTTGTATCAAGAGACTCGAAGGACGAGGCTAGACACATTGCACTATATCAAACGGCGTATGTAGACTGGAATAACCAGACGCTAGAAATTTGCACTCGCTTGAGACTGCTGGCTTATTTCGCCGAACATAACTGATTTGAAATTGGAGTAAAAACGGAAACCATTGAATGTAAATCAGTTTATATACATACATATTACAGTATTATATGCGTTGCGACCCACTTTAGTCAATTTCTAGGTCCCAAATGTTAGCGATTTAGCTCCTTTAACACTAGTGTTTACAGCAGTGTCTACGCTAGTTTACTACCATTTGAGAGTTAACACTGATGGAAAATAATAATACAAAAAAAACAAAACACTAATCTTATTTTTAAATGTTCCATTTTCGTTTTTGTCTCCTGTTTGAACGCATCCAAATCTTTGCGTGGACTGGCTGACTATAATAACCACGGAAAGAAAGGCAATTGAGGACAACTTCTAACCGCTTTCTGGAAATGAAATGAAATGAAATGGGTTTAACGCCCTACTGATTTGCTCCGAACTGGGCTAATGAAGACGGGCATACAGTGTGCTATGAGGGAAATTTTGCCCAGACACCTGCACTACGGCCTACTCTTATATCGATCTCCAACTGTCAAGGGATCTTTTACGTGTACGTCAATGTGTACACGGGACCTCGGTTTTTCGTCCCATCCGAACGACTAGACATCTGTCCTTGTCAGGCCCTCCGTCCTGCATCACTGACAAGGGAGAACCACGCCGGAAAATCTGGATGAACTTTCTCTGCCAATGCAGGGATCGAACACCCGACCTCCAGGGTAGCGAGCCAGCGTCTTAACCAACTAGCCACCGTGGTCCCTCCGCTTTCTGGAAGTTAAACAACTTGGATCTATACTGAATTTATGTTGTCTCCATGTATTACATGTATATTCAATAGAAAGTTCCACTATAATTAAAGATACATTATGGGAGATTAGATAAAGAGCTGGTTGTTCTCAATATAATAGCTAACAACTAGATAATGTAATGGAATTTGCTGAAAATTTCAATCAGATTGATCTACTCTGAACCGAGAATTTAGCGATTGAATTTTGGGCCTGGCCTCCATCATCATAAGTCGGTACGATAAAAAAAAAACATGAATGAAAGTTGAGCAGCAAATCTGATCGTAATCCAGTAAATATCGCAGGCTAGCGTTGACATCGAGAGTTAATTATGGTCTGGATGGGTTAATTAATGTCTATTTAATAATTTAGATAACATTCCAGGCCTAAAGAAGGACCTGCAATGGGCATGTATGAGAAAATTGATACACTTTTCAGCTAGGTTAACCCCCTGGACTCCTGTTCTATTCAGTTCTTGCATAATGTATGTTTAATAAATATTGTCAAACAATGTGAATGCATATTATGAAAGGTTGTCTTTATAATAAACAACCCTAAGCACTGTATCGTGCACGAGCTGGGTAGAATTTAACTTTTATAGGTTACCATTTCGAACTCTGTGGCTTTGAGGTATAAGGGCTACCCCCTTAAACAAAAAAACCCCAAAAAACCCCCAAAAATACATAAAACTAAAATATTCATAAACTTTAAACTTCTTTATGGATGAATAATATATATATATATATATATATATAGAGAGAGAGAGAGAGAGAGAGAGAGAGAGAGAGAGAGAGAGAGAAAGAGAGAGAAATGGGGTTTAACGTCCACTCGACACAAACTAGGTCATTTCGGGACTAACATATGGTTTAATGCGCATAGGGGTCTTTAGCAGTGGGAGGAAACCGGAGGACCCGGAGAAAACCCACGAGGTTGGACAGGCGCCCCTTCTCCTTGTCACGTACAAATAGGGATTCGAAACCACGCCAGTCGACTCAATGACAGACTTTATGATACAGCGCGCGCACGCTAACCATTCAGCCACCCCCCCCCCCCCCAACAATTGAAACGCATTTATAATGAAATGAATCTAGTGAAATAGAGACTCATTGCTTTTCCACATGTAAATTTCGTAACAACGTGGACCCATTACTCATTCGGGAAAGGCCTGCCAACAGGGCCCGTGAAAGGGGACGACAGCTGGGACAACTTGTCCAGGGGGGGGAGCTCGGAGGTATGCCAAGTAATGTTTTACAAAAAAAATTGTTGGTATAAATTTAATAAAAAAAAATAACCGTTACTTGATCGTAAAGTAGAAGAAAATCGGTGACTTTTCTGAATGTGGGTACCCTACCCAGTGGCGTGGGTAGAATTAGAATCGAATTATGTCAGTCCACTTTTTTGGCAAAAACTGGTGATTTAAAAACTATATGCCGTGGGTCCCCGGTCCGTCCTCGTTCCGTTTGAGACTCTCGTCATCTTTAGGGTATCCGGGCCCTGACAGGTAATCGGGGCTTAGTCGGGGCCTGTATAGAACGCTACAATGAGTGTGAGAGCGCTTTGCCGCCAGTGATCACGCACGCGGTTGTCGATAACTCTAGGTGGGCTGACTGGTATCCGATCATTAAAAACGAAACCGAAACCTTTACTTTCGTCTCCGTTTCGTTAGGCGCTAAAAATCTCGATGTTTTTCAATATTTTTTCCAATTGCGGACCTTTTTCCGACCATTGACAGCGTGGTTTTAATTTTTCTATATTTTTTAGTGGCAAAATCTTGTACAGCTGATTATTATTACATCAGTAAAACTAAAACGTAGAACATGTATTTGGTATGTGTCATATGTTTCTGCGTTTTAGCAAAGTGACCTTCAGTTACCCCAGATATACGCCAAAAATGAAGTTATGAGAGAATATGTTTCAAAAATTTTCGAGCTAAAAGTCGCAAGTTGCTTGTCCCAGGGCTCAGAGGGCCTTGTCGCTGACCCTGCTTGCCTATGGAGCATTACCTAGTAATGCGTATGCTAATATGCTTACTTCTATGCATGTAACGTCACTAACACATGTTAAATTGGCGATTTACACATGTAAAAATGCTAATTTATATGACTTACTTTACGCATTACTAGATTAGGAGTTAGAATTATGGGGGGAAACCTTATGAACTGTATATGTCGCGTGGCTAAGTGGGTAAGACGCTGACTCGCTAGCCTGGAGGCCGGGTGTTCGATCCCTGCAATGGCCAAGAAAGTACATCCAGATAAGAGTAGGCCGTAGTGGCGCTGCCCGGGCAAAATTCCCCTCATAGGTGACTGTATGGCGTATGACGGTTTTCATTAGCCCAGTTTAGGAGCAGAACAGTAGGACGTTAAACACCATTTCATTTCATTTCATTTGTATATGTCGCGAACCCTTGCGGCTGTGCTAGGTTATATCGGGACTAACGTGTGCGGTACAATACATTTTATAGATCATTTATTTTAAGTCGTACATATTTACTTTAACAGATGAACAGCATTTCATTTCTTGTGATCAAACAGTTTAATAAGCTGAACATTAACAGAACAGCATGTCTTTTATTATGACAAACATTATCTAGAAGATTGGTCTTGTAATAAAACCAGAGAGAGAGGGGGGGGGGGTATTTCAGGACTAACATACGATTCAACTTTGTTTCAATATTCTAGCAGTAGGAGATTTGACTGTCGACCCCACTCCTTGTCACGTTTAAGCTGAGAGATGGGAGATAAATTGGGTTATTCGTCCAGTCGACACAAACTAGGTTATTTTGGGACTAACATATGGTAACTTATATTAAGCAGTGGGAGGAAACGCATGAGGTTGGACAGGCGACCGTAATACATGTCACGTACAAGCGGAGAATCGAAATTAAGCCGCGTTAACCGTTAGCCCCCCTCCCCCCCCCCCATGACCCCCACACCGCGCAAAAGATGGGAAAGGGGTATAGATACCACTTAACTCAATGACAGACCATTAGATCTAAAGCGAACGTTAGTCTACCCGCCAAGTCTATATTAGAGTCGGTGCAGAAAAATGGAACGTTATTCTCCATTTCATTTCATTTCCTTCTATGATTTCCCCTTGTCAGCGGTGCAGGAAGGAGGGCCTGACAATGACAGTTGTCTAGTCGTTCGGATGGGACGAAAAACCGAGGTCCCCTGTATACACTGGCG